AAAAGAAGCGTCACCTTGACAGGTCTGTATCTTTCCGGCTGGGTGATGCGTAGGTAGATGAGGCCAGCCACAGAGAGACCCACATAGAGCCAGTAGCTGAAGCTGAAGTAGTTGATGAGCTGAAACACGTCCCTCACACACAGGAAAATCAGGCCCATTAAGCCCTGTAGCCACACAGCACAAGGACAAGTAAAGAATCCCCATGGGATCGTGGTATGATGACACACGTTCATTTGTGTTTTATAAGGCAGTTTCGTTTCTCACGTTGAATAGCAGAGCAGGTATGGGCGTGTAGCGCTTCAGGTGAATCAGACTCAGACTGTTGGGGAGGTGGCCCTCTCTGGCTCCAACAAAAAACAGCCTGTGTGATCAGCGAGGTGGAAGGTTAGTGGGAACGTACTTCATCAGTCATACTTCCATCACAAGTGCCATCACAGTGTAAGTTGGGACACACTCTGTATTTTCTCATTACCGTGAAGCAGCAATGACGGAAGCATTGAGTCCTCCATAGCAGGACATGGCCACAGAAACGGGGATGATCCAGCTGAACGGCCCCAGGACCGCATTTCCAAATGTCTGTGGGGTCACATTTGCATTGGTTATTTCACACTACACATTCACGGTGAAGAGATCTGAGCAGTTTTCCTAAGGGTCTGTTGCGGCCTTAGACCCTTATATTTTCTGCAGCTGACGTAGATGTTACATTACTTTATTTTCTCAAGTCCTGTTTTCATCTCATGTCCTGCTCTAAGCTCAAAATGTCCTGCTCTAAGCTGAACAGACCTATATTTAGCAGGAACAAAACTCTCAGGTGTCTCACCACAGCGACAGCGTCACTGGCAAGCAGAGAGGGCATGTCTAGAACCACATAGTACGCCACGTTGGTCAGTAGGTAGATGATGGTCACTATGGGCATGGAAATGGCGATGGCCAGGGGCAGATTTCTGCAACAAAAGCATAATCACACACGGCGATTACAGAAGAATCTGACTTCAGCTCCTACGCTTCATTTCCTTTTGTTCAGGAATATGTTTTACACAGAGCTGGGACAAAGAATAGCAGCTGGTTTCATGCCAACAATACACAATTTAAAAGTGTTTAGATAGCGATTAAAAGACAGTTATGGGACGCTGTGCTACAACAAGACTCGTGAAAGTAACTGAAATCATCTGCAGTTAAACCTGTGATAATGAAATTAGGCGTATCATCACCATTTAGGTGCTTTAGTAGCTCCTCTTTGGGAGTCATGCATTTTTCTGTCTTATAAATGTCCACTATTCGCTGTCTTTTAGCTCTCGTTTTGGTCTCCACCAGTTTCTGAAGGTCTCTGTAGCTACTGCATGCTTCGCTGTCGTTCCCAGCTGGTGTCCAAATGGGTCTGCACACAGTCTGGTGATGGGCAGGTAGTGTGTAATGCCTCTGTAGTGTAGTTTTTTTTTTTTAAATACTTTTTTGCTTAAAATATCTGCTGCTTCTAAGAGCAAACAAAACAATGACCTACCTTTTGGAAGGTGAAAAGCACAATAATTACAATATTGTGGATTTAAAGAAAATGTGTGAAACATTCAATGCAAAACACAAAATTTCCAAACAAATACCTTCTGACGCTAAGCTTTTATATTAGGTTTGCATCCAGCTCATTTTAACATTTCACAGAATCAAAAGAGCTTTTTAGAAATGTGTTTGTTATTGGTAAGAAGAGTTGTTGCTGTAACACGGAAAATGACTCATAGGATTGGTTTTCTACCTTAGCTACAACACTGGCTGTAGAGAAATTTACTTATTTTATCAGGGCTATTAAACAGTCACTCTTTCAGAG